TTCCAAGACTCCTTTTAGGCTGGGTGCTAGTGGCTCACATATGTAATCCTGGTTACTCAGGAGGCTGAGATCAGAGTATCGAGGTTTGAAGCCAGCATAGGCAGGAAAGTCTGAGATTCTTTTTTTTTTTTTTTTGATCGGTCATGGGGCTTGAACTCTGGGCTTGGGTGCTGTCCCTACGCTCTTCAGCTCAAGGCAAGTGCTCCACTGTTTGAGCCGCAGCGCCACTTCCAGTTTTCTAGTGGTTTTTATTGGAGATAAGAGTCTCACAGACTTTTCTGCCCAGCCTGGCTTTGAACCTCGATCCTCAGATCTCAGCCTCCTGAGTAGCTAGGATTACAGGCGTGAGCTACAAAAAAGCCAGAAGTGAAGCTGTGGCTCAAGTGGTAGAGGGGTAGCCTTAGACATTGTCTGACCTTGAGTTCAAGGCCCAGGACTTGCACAAATATAAAAAGATCCCTTTGGGGAATTGGGGGGAGATGGGAAGGGATGGTAAGGGGAAGGAAACAAAGGAGGAGGCAACAATGCTTGATAAGAAATGTACTCATTACCTTGCCCATGTAATTGTAACCCCTCTGTGCAGTATTTTCACAATAAAAGCAATATGAAAGAAAAAAAGATCCCTTTAAGGTACAATCACATTATTTCTTCTAGAGGATGGAGAGTTTAACTGCCATGTGATACTGTAGAAATACCAGTCCTCAGGTGGTCAGACTGTGTCAGTATGATTCATGAGGTTCCTTTGCGTCTTCATGCTCTCAGACAGAACATGGACTGTATAAAGTAGTCTTTAATATACACTTGTATTTCTATTAAGAATTCAAGAAGGATTACACCTGTAATCCTAGCTACTTCGGAGGTGAAGATTTGAAGGTTGTGGTTTGAAGCCAGCTCCAGCAGGAAAGTCTATAAGGCTTTTATCTCCAGTTAACTAACAACAACAACAAAACAAAAACAAAAACAGAAGAGGCATGTGGCTCAAAGTGGTAGAGTGCTAGCCTTAAGGGTAAAAGCTCAGGGACAACATCCAGGTCCTGAGTTCAAGCCCCAGGACTGACAAAAAAAGAATTCAAAAATATTTTAGGGTGAAAATATGTAAATTATTTCAGTATTTCAGCTTATTCCTGGATTCAATACACCTTGATATTCTGAAGATATTCTTTCCCGTACCCCACACTTAAACCATCTGTGTCAGGCAAAATTTCTGAGATGTAAAACCAACTGAAATATGTCCATATCATTTATTCAGAAAGGACTGTAATGATAATGGAGGGGAAAGGTAGTGGCATCATTAATGAAAGAGTTCATTTCTGTGAATACCTAAGGAAGCCTAGAAGTTCTGGCCAGGAACTTATGCTGAGGACTCAGCACCAGTGCTTTGCAAACAGCACAGGATGTTTACTGCCCTGAGATGGGGGTTCACTACTATTACAAATGGAATAAGAAGTTCTAATTTTGTGCAACTTGCATTTTACCTCTGTGTTTGCTTTATATACATCAGTATTTGCTTTATATAAAAATATTTAAAGCAGGGCACTGGTGTCTCATGCTTGTAATCCTAGCTACTGAAGAGGATGAGATCTGAAGATTTTGGTTCAAAGCCAGTCCAGGCTTATGAACTGTGGCTTTGAACCAAGAGTCCATGCGTTTATTATCTCCAGTTAACCACCAAAAGGCTGGAAGTGGAGCTATGGCTCAAATGGTAGAGTGCCAGCATTGAAAAAAACTAAGGGACAGTGCCTAGGCCTAGTTAAAACATCAGAAAAAAAAGAATTAAAATTATTTACCATTAATTAATGTTGACTTCTTAGGGAATGTTTCCTTTGAATGTCCCCAGGACCCTGGCTTGTACCATAAGGGTTAATTTTATACCAATTTGAAAATTCACAAGCTTAAATGTTGCAGCTCAGAGGAGAATCCTTCCATGTGTCCTATTTTTCCTTTGCTACATGTAACCTCCCAAAGCCCTTAGGAAATCTTTGCTCTAAGCCCCTACAAAGTAGTTATTTTCCTGGTTAATGTCACTGAGGAATGTAAGATCAACTTCCCCAAATAAAGTTTTTCTGTTTGAGGAAAAGAATCTATCTAGGTGAGAATTACCTGTGCACTTCCCTTTTTCAATTAAAATAGGAAACCAAATCAAGTTAAAAACTTTGCTTTGGTGGGGAAAGTACAGTTGTGGGCGGGGGGGGGGCAGGGGGAGGAGGATTATTGAAAAATCACACTACAAGCTGATGGACATACTCAAATCTATATATAGGGAGTGGTTTATTTATACATTCATATTTAGAAACATTTGAAAGGCCTACCATGTGTGCTGTTAAAAGACTTTTAGAATTATTTTGTTAGATAATTCTGTTTCCAGTGACATGATGATTTATCACCACTAATCAAGATTCTGATCCGCATAGATTCCTTGTTTGTATCTGTTTTTGTTCTTTGTTACATAAATATGAGGTTTATATATAAAATTCGGACTGTGTAATATTGGGTTAATGAGTCACAGATGGAAAGAGGTTGGCACATTACCATCTAATAACATTTTAAACTCATATTCCATAGTAAAACAAAAGCAAATTGTACACATCTGTTTTCCAACTTGTAGCATTTCTGAGTTTGTGCAGAGTCTGTGTTTAAAGGACTTTTTACTTAGGGAGAAGAAAAAGAGGACACAGGTCATCTCGAAACTAGCCAGCTACATCATAACCTTATCGGAGGGGTTTGGCCAAAAAGGGGATAAGATTTCCTCTGGTTGGCTTCTACGAAATCACTGCACTAAAAAAGAAGACTCAAAGGCCGGAGGGCTAAGAAATGTCTATATATTGTAACTTGATTGCTTTTCTTAAAAAGAAGAACGTATCCTGAATTGAAGGGGAAAGGAAGAAGAGGAAACAGAAACTATCCCCCAAACTAATCAAACTTAAAACTTAGAAACTTTGTGACTTTTCCTAAAACCATCTTTCAAATAGAATTGGGTGGGAAGAGGAGAAAGGGAGGAAGAGAATCTAAAGAAACTTGAGTCCATGTATTGCTGTGGTGGTTGTTTATTTGTGTGATAAACATATTTGGTGTGTGTGTGTGTGTGTGTTTTAACTAGAATAAGGGCATTACTGTCAGATGTTGCTAAAAAAAGAAAGAAAGAAATGGAGACAAGGCAAAATGTCTCTCTCAGACATCTCTCGTTGATAACTGCAATGAGAAGCTATTAAAACGCAAGCCTCTAAATATGTCTCCCTCCCCCCTTGGTTAAATAATTCCAAACCACTTTTCTGCTCTAAGGGCTTGTGTGAACTGTCAAGGTTTTTGGGGGAAAATGTATGACAGAAGTGCTTACTGCAGAGTGTGACCATGAAACACGCATGTTATGAAAGACAGCTTCCCATCCTCCACCTCAGCCAGCACGCCTGAACCGCAGCTGAGAGACGGCCCGTGGTTAGAGAGAGAAATTTTGATTATGTGTGTGGTGAGACGAACTCCATTTATTCCCAGGAATACTCTGATCGGATGGAAAAATTCCCTTCCCATTTTTTTTCAGAGAATTAACACATGAATTGTCTGTCCTGTGTTGCAAGCAGAGTATCAATAGAGAGGAATTAGTGTTGTCTTTGTAACAACATCTGTCGTTATCTATTTGTACTAACTAACCTTAGAGAATCAAATTGTTACACCAGTGTGTGTGTGTGTGTGTGTGTGTGTGTGTGTGTGTGTGTGTGTGTGTGCACGCACGCACGCATGTAGACCCCCAACCTACTTGCCATTAGGGGCAGTTTAGATGAATTGCCATACAGTGTCTGGGTCCTTGGAGGTCCTCTTGGGTTTGATTTTGTTTTGGGCTATGTTCCAAGACTCACACCAGGAAAGGAAGGCATTAGTGGTAGGTGCTTGTTTGTCTACCAGTGACATGTCTGTGTGACGTTTTGTGTCGTGTTGTTTTGGTGCTGTGCTATGCCCATAGGGCCTGCCAGGCTTCCCCACAGTGGCTGCCCTGCACAGCAATCAGATCGTCACCGTCAAGGTTTGTGGTTGACCCTCACGCCTGCTCAGTCAGAGCTGCAGTCAGCAAAAACGTGCGCAAGAATGGAGAGCCATTCCACTGGCTTGCCCAGCCACTTGAGTGCCCTTGTCAGGAAGCCAGTCGGCTGTAGTGGGGGAGCTAGGCCCTCCCCTGCATTGCTCAGGTCAGGTGTGTTTTAGGAGGATGCATCCTGACCATGCTTGAAGGAACCTGAGGCCAGGCAGGTGTTGGGAGACACCTGAGCACATCTGCCTCAGTGTGTGTGCCTCGCCTCCGTGGGTTGATTTGCATGTATTTTAATGCTCTGTGATGCTTTGCCAGCCAATTAAGTCAGGCGAAGTGTTCTGGGCCCTGGGCATCCATAAAGTGGCCATCAGGTTCATGCCGCGTTTTGCTGGTTGACATGTCTGACAGAAAATGGAACTCGTGCTTTGTCTGTGGACTTTCTACTCACGGTGCAGAAGGCTGAGTCCCAGCAGCTCAGCCTCTGGGAACAGACTATGTTATACACATATACACATTAATTTTCATCTGAAAAAACTGATCTCTCCAGGCATTGGTGGCTCACGCTTATAATCCTAGCTACTCAGGAGGCTGAGATCTGAGGATTGCTGTTCGAAGCCAGCCCAGACAGGAATATTTGTGAGATTCTTATCTCCAACAAGCTAGAAGTAGAGCTGTCACTCAAGTGGTAGAGTGCTTAGCCTTGAGCAAAAGAGCTCAGAGACAATGCCCAGGCCCTGAGTTCAAGCCACAGGACCTGCATACTCACGCACACAAAGAATCTGATCTCATTTGAGGGTTGTATTTCTTTTTAGAAGAGGCAGAAGGTCTGTTATCAGACACAAGTGTGAGTTCCATTTTATTTAATGATCATTATGATTCTAACGCATATATCTTTATTTCTTTCTTGTGGCCTTCTGATGTCTATTCTTCAACTCTCTCATCTCTGAACTTCAACCTTTGAACTCACCTGACTGATCAGATGGTGTTTCCTAAAATCAATCATGGGTTTCTCTCTGCTGATCAGCAGCTCATTAAACGCCGCCTGATTAAGGTAGTGCTTGCTTCTTGCTGGATTCTGATTGCTTCTTTACATTCAGTTAATTGCTCTGCATACTATTGCTTTGCCATAGAGCTCTTTGGGTGGGGCATGGGTGACGTGGGGAGGGTTTTTATTTGCTGTTATACTAGAACAAGATTATGTTTTGTGAGATGCATTTGACCTATACAGGAAAGTACAAAAGGCTGGGTGTAATGGCTCACTACTGTAATCCCAGCTACGGTGGGGCGGGGAGAGCTAGAAATAGGAGGATCACAGTTGAAGACTAGCGAGTGTCTTGCGAGGGTAAAAAGAGAACCTATATCAGAGAACATTCTGGGCATGGTAGTGCAGAGCTGTGATCCCAGCTTTAGGTGAGGTGTTGAGCCTCTGAGTTTGAAGTCCAGTAATGCCAAAAAAAAAAAAAGTACCAAAGTAAAAAGGTACAGAAAGACTATGTTTTTATTAATTGAAAAAAATTAAAAACTGGAGCCAGTCACAGATCTAATTCCTAAGCTCTTTAGGAACTTTTAAAGCTTTGCTAATTTATAAATTGCTAGGCATATGACAGGAACTACATAGGCTGAATTTTATAGGCTCTGAAAAGTAAATATATCTGTCAAACTATAAATGCAGCCATCCATTGAACAAGGTGAATGTAACTGATACCCCTTTGGCACAGACAAAGTTAAACAGAAGTTTTATAACAGCTCTGAATACCGTGATAACACACTCTCTGCCCGAGTCCAGACGCTGGGTCCTGAGCCGCTTTGATTTTAACAACATCTCCTCAGCTCAGTCATCATGAATATTTATTTGCTCCCTGCTGGCAGGTAAATTGCCGACAGGCTTCACGTTTCTGGTCGCTCTGGTTCTTCTCATAGTGTAAATGTAGATTAGATAACATGAATTGCAAGTGCTGAAAAGAAGACCTGAGTGTTGATCGGCCTTGGTTATTGATGGTCTGTCTTCTTCTCCATTCCAGGGTGATCAAGGACAGGCCGGGCCTCCCGGGCCCCCCGGCCCCCCAGGGCCAAGAGGGCCCCCTGGGGACACAGGGAAAGATGGCCCCCGAGGCATGCCAGGAGTGCCAGTGAGTTGTTTTCTGGATGGGTGTTTGCATTGGTCTTCTGTCATAGTGAAGTCTGAGAGCGAGGATGGAGCAGGGCCAAGGGGCTGTGGGGTGAAAGAGAGGGTGGAAGAGAAGGGGATGATGGGAAAGGCCATTACTGCTCCATCAACCTGGAACCCTGCACCTGGGAGGCCCGGAGCCAGCAGCTAATCGGGTTCAGGTAAGGCTCTGGAAGCGCCTGATGGAGACGCCATGGCCTCTCAGATGCCCCCCCCCCACCACACGCAGGTAGGTCTGTGATGTGAAAAATACAGTGGGAGATGGAGGCCATTTTCGAAAGGGTCCATAGCAAACACAAAACCCCAAGCTCTTCACGCAAAGTAAAACTTCTCATATGTAATCCTTGGTAAATAACGTGTCTGAAAATAAGAGTAAAATCAATGGGGAGGATTGCACATTAGTAAGTATGATTTTAATATCAGTTGGTCGTTTCTATGAGGGACATATTAATAGGAAAACTTTAAAAGTGACCTCAATTCTTAGTTTCAAGTGACAGGAATATAAGAGAGGGAGAATAATGGCAGTGGTGGCATTGATTGAGATGCATTGTACTCACAAACTAACGCGTTGAATTGAAATCCTTTTTGTGCAACTACTTAGAAATAATGAAAATAAATAAATAGTAGAACATTAGATCAACTATTCTGTTTAATAAAGGTAACACAGCAATGCAAAGAATATATGGACAAGGAATTATAAATAGTTTAATAATACCCTTTTGTACAACTACTTAAAAATTGGAAAAAAAATAGGATAAGCTAGACACAAGTAGCTCCTCCCTGTGATCCTAGCTACATAGGAGGCTGAAATCTGAGGATCACAGTTCAAAGCCAGCCTGGAGAGATCAGTCCATGAGACTGATCTCCAATTAATCACCAAAAAGCCAAAAGTATAACTGTGGCTTAAGTGGTAAGTGCTAGCTAGCCTTGAGCAAAGAAGCTCAGTGATGAGGGACAGCATCCAGGCTTTTGGGGGGGGGGAGGAAAGGGTGAGGGAGGGAGAGAGAGAATCCAAAAAAGGATAGGAGGAATGGTTCAAATGGTAGCACAAGGCCTTGTAAGTACAAGGTCCTGAGTTCAATCCCCAGTACCTCCAAAAAAAATCCACAAATATAATTTGAACTTGACTGATCTTCTCAGGGTCAATATCTATATACTACAATAACCATTATAAAACTATTTCATAAAAAGGAACCCAGAGGTATTTATTTTCAAAACCAGTAACAGCTGCATATGTTGGCTTTACAGTGCAGGTGTACCCAAAATATCTGTAGCCATAATAATGATATAATAAAACATGATAACCAATTCCCTACTAATCTGAGTATTAAATAATTGTTTGTTTGTAAGCATTAAGAAAGCAAAACTTAATTGTAGTTCTATCACCCAGAGATAATTACTATTCTTTAATTTTTTTGCCTGTTTTATATTAACTTACAAATATGTATTTTATGTTAAAGTAAATTATACTTTAATGTTATTTTAATTCGCTTTTGTAATGTAAAGTGTTTCCACATTATCTAAAATATTACCATGTTACCTAAAATACTGTGGCTTTGTGCTGGAAGACATCAATATATTAAAATAGAATGACCTTTAAAAAAAAAGGAAATGATAGCAACGGTATGCTAAGGAAGAATATTTGCTATCAGTTTTATTAAAACACGTTACTTTAGCCATTAATTCAGGAGACAAAAATCACAATTCGTGCTCATCATGTTGTTTACTTCTTGTAGTAAAAGAAACTGCTTGTGCCCTGCATAAGAAAAATCTCCCCTCTGTACAGTATGTTCACAATAAAAAATAAAAATTTTAAAAAAATAAAAGAAAAATCTGTCATCATGAAAACACCACACTATCTTCACTGTAAATAGGTCATGATGTAATTTTAGTTAATCCTATGATGTTTACAAAATTCACTTGCTGTAATTATATTCTTCTGATCTGAAAAATGTGTTTCATATTTCATGTGTTCCAGAAAGTAATGGGAGAAAAAAAACCCAACCAATTGATTGAAATTGCCTATTACACTCACACATCACTAAAATTATCTTTTTTTTTTTTTAAGGGAGAACCAGGGAAGCCAGGAGAACAAGGCTTGATGGCAAGTATTTCAATTCATTTTTTTTTCCTGTGCTAAAGATGATTTTTTTTTTAAATTCCAGGGTTTTTTTAAATAAAACTATGTCCAGGATTGTGTATGATAGCCAGTTACCAGTCACTACTCAGGAGGCTAAGATCTGGAGGATAGGAGTTCAAAACCAGCTTAAGTAGAGGTCCTTGAGACTCGATCTCCAATTAACCAGCAAAAAGCTAGGCTGGAGGTATGGGTCAAGTGGTAGAGTGCCAGCTATGGGCAAGCAAGCTGAGAATGCTCAAGGCTCTGAGTTCAATGCAGGATGCAGGTGAAGGTTTGTGAAGGGAGTCATCACTTGGGGCCCTTGACTTCAATCTTAGAATAAGAACTTCTGGACAAGTCACAATGGTAAGAAAACTTGGCGGAGCTTTATTAAGTGAGTAAGCAAACAGGCACACAGGCATGCAGACAAACAGAAAAGCAGAGAGTGTGAGTGCTCTAAAGAAGAGACACTCTTTGGCATCAGGGGTATTTGTGTGGTAAAGGCAAGGGGTCCAAGTTAGGCAGAGATAGGTGTCTTAATGGTGTTGGGTATTTCCAGGTAAGAATGCACCCTGCCATAAAACAGATGTTTATCCTTGAAATAAGGAAGGCACCCAGTTGTCTTAGAAGCAAAGATAATGATTGTTTCAAAGACACCTTGTTTCTGAGATGCCTTCACCAGGCCTCAGTTTTCCTCATTTATATTGCCTCCGTACCATAAAAAAAAATGTGTGACAAATGTTTCCCTCATCTGATTAATTGCAAAAACGTGAAATTCTTGAAAGTTAAAGAGTAATACAGCCTGTGCATCATGTGATGCATGATTAGACACATGTACAGAGATGATGCAGAGCAGAAGAGAGGAAAGTTGGTGGGCATAAGAAAGATGCTGCACGGGCTGGGAAGGTGGCTCAGTGGTAGAGCGCTTGCCTTGCAATGCATGAGGCCCTGGGTTCGATTCCTCAGCACCACATAAGAAAAAAGAAAAAAGCCAGAAGGGGCGCTGTGGCTCAAGTAGTAGAGTGCTAGCCTTGAGCTGAATTGCTGAGGGACAGCGCCCAGCCCCAGAGTTCAGGTCCCACCACCGGACCCCCCACCAAAAAAAAGAAAGATGCTGCAGAAGGAAGGAAGTTGATTGGGTAGCTCTGCTGTCAGGGAGATAAAGTTCAGAATATATCAATTTGTTGAAAACAACCTATTTAGTTAGGTATAAGTAACTGAACTAGCACAGGAAACCTTGTCCAGTTATTTGGGTTTTTCTTTACCCAAAGGGCTCCATCCAGAATGAAACTGTTGTGCCTCTTGGTTCTTTGTCACTTAAAAAAAAAAATGTTGCCAATATCAGTGGCTCATACCTGTAATTCTAGGTTCATGCCAGCCAGCCAGGAAAGTCCATGAGACTCTTATCTCCAGTTAACTACCAAAAATGCTGGAAGTGGAGATGTGGCTCAAGTGGTAGAATGCTAGCCTTGAGCAAAAAAAGCTCAAGGACAGTGCCAGGCCCTGAGTTCAAGCTCTAGGACCAGCATACACACAGACATACACACACACTCATGAAATGACTTCACACAGACATATGTAGACACATAGATTTGTATATCCTTTGAGTGTAAGAGAGAAATCAGGTAATAACTTGCTGAGACCAGAGAGTAAGCTCAATAAACAGCAAAAAGCCAAGCTGGAGGCATGCTTCAAGTGGTAGCATGCCAGCTAAGCAAGCATGAGGTCCTGAGTTTAAACCCTGGTACCTTTCTTTCTTTCTTTTTTTTTGGGGGGGGAGGTTCCGGTTGTGGGGCCTGAACTCTGGGCCTGGGCACTATCCCTCAGCTCTTCAGCTCAAGGCTAGCACTCTACCACTTGAGCCACAGCGCCACTTCCGGCTTTTTCTTTTTGCTTATGTGGTGCTGAGGAATCGAACCCAGGGCCTCAGGCATGCAAGGCAAGTGCTCTACCACTGAGCCACCTTCCCAGCCCCCTATTTTTACCTTTCTTGAAGGATTTTACCAGGCAAATAATAACATAGTCTTTATTTTCTTGGAACCCCTTGTTTTGAATGTGAGATTTAATTCAAGATTTTAGTGCCAAAGCACTGAGATATTCCCAGAATCTACTCTGATATCATTCAGTCTTACATATTTGACCTGGTCCAAAATGAATTGTGTTGTTTTAGTGTGCTTCAATTCCTCAAAAAACATTCTCAAATGCAGATAGTTACGGCTCTTTGTCTAAATACCTTTTCTTCTCTCTTTAACACGTTCAGATTGGTTTGTAGTCTCTCTCTCATTTTTCAGTGCAGCTAAGAAACTTAATTGGAATCACAGATGTTCCTGGGATATATTTACTGAACCTTTAAGGCACATTTAAAAGTGACTTTAGAAATTACTCTTTGAAATAATGTAGAATTCCCTTGTAGTGAAAAAAATCTCTGAAATAGATTGTAGTGCCCATCTCAGTGAGTTTTCACAAAGTGAATGTAACTATGTATAAAACAGATCAGTAACTTGAATGCTATCATGAACCTTCCTTTACTCCCACCCCCAATCTCTGTCCCCAAAGTGGCTACCACTGACCCTGTCATCATGGATTAGCTTTGCCTGAATTTGAATTTTATGTAATTGAAGCCTACAGTATGTACACACTGGGGCCTGGCTTCTTTCATTCAACGTTGTATTTGTGAGGTCATCTGCCTCCATTGTAATAGCCTTCACAGCTGGTTTAAAAAAAAAAAAAGGAAGAGCCTTACTTCCTCAGCTGAAGCCCCCCCCACCTGCCCGTTAAAACAACATCAGTCAGAGTAGTAAATGAATGAATGAATGTCTGACCTTGAGAAAATCACTTAACCTCTCAATTACTCATCTGTAAAGAAAGGATAATACCCTTTCCGCCTGTCTTAAAAGGTTGCCAAAGACAAATGCAGTAAATTAGGGGGGAAAGCACTTTAAAATATATAATGAAGGACTATATAAGAATGTTATTATTAGTATTACTCAGTTCTTCTCTCTGGAGTAAATTACAGGTGAGCATGGATTTATATAGCAGATGGATTCCTGTAAAGTTTTGTATGAACCAGGTTTTCATAAATCAAAATATTTTTAATGTGCCAGGATTTTTCAGTTTCAAGCAAGCCTACTCAGAGTCTTTCTGTAAAGGGATATAACCCCTAAATTCCTTTTCCCAGAAAACTAGATTTTTTATCATATATATTTGCATAATATGAAATATTTCCCTGTTCTAAACATCTTTTTAAAAAAAAATCATTGCTTCTGCTTAATGAACTGAATAATACCTGTACATCTTCACCCATCTCAATGAGGAGAGAAAATACTAGTAATATAATTGTAAGTTTTAATCAGATATATACTTCCTAGAAATTTGCTTTCAAATATTGTATGCATCCACATGTTCTAACTTGAAATCTGGCAAAGAAGGATATATACTAACCCAGAAGCTTTGGTTATGAAACTACTATAGAATAAGTGAGTGTCTATGTTGTAATCCATAAAATATAAAAATTAATTCCATTTTTCTTGCTGGATTATGATAAGCAGCAATTGAAAAACTCATATGAAGTATTTTATGAGCTATGAAGAATTCCCTAAATGTGTAATATTACTGGTAAATATCCAGTAAGAAAACTTAACATCTACAAAGGCAGTCAAAGGTAAGGGCTTAGAACAGTTGATTAAAATTAAGATATATACACACACACACACACACACACACACACACACACACACACACACACATATGCATACCAACTACAGCTGGTAATACTTTGTGTTTGCCCTATTCATTGTTACTTTGACCTTCTAGGTAGCACATCATCTAACATTATCTACTTTTCATTTTCTCATCCACCAGTGAAAGCAGACAGAACATAATGCAGACCACTGTTCTCCTCTTTTCCATTGTTCTCTCAGATATACTCTGTGTGGAAAGCATTAGATGCTGAGCTGGGACACTTGGAAGCCCTGTTTTAAATATACAGTGTCTCAGATGATGAAATGAAGAGCTAGAAGCATCCAAAGATAAGCTCTTAGAAAACTATGGGTCAGGGCATCAGGTAGAGAATGAGTTTTCATAATCCAAGGTAGCTGCTCCATAATTGCAGGACTAACCATCTGAGATTAGCAGCATCGATGATACAGTGACGAAAGAAAAACTGCAGTTCAGGCATTTCTGCATGTGCTGAAGCCTGCTATGCATCTCTTCTGTCTACGTGGCCTTCGGGTTTTCAGAGAAGTTCAGGGTGAGATTTTAAAAGACAGAATTTGGAGCTTAAAGTTGACTTTTTCTAAAAAAGAACAGGCCCACTGTCTGATAAAACTAGACACAAGAATAAAACTAAGGGCTGACCACAACTGGACGTGCTCAGATGCTATATTTGGGCATGAGTGATCACTAATTTCCAGCTCTTCAGAAATTTAAATGTGTGTGTGTGTGTGTGTGTGTGTGTGATATTTTTGTGTGCTGGCATCAGGACTTGAACTCAGGATCTCAGAATCTCACACTGTCATGGGTTCTGTTTTGTTATTTTTGTTCATGGCTGGTAGGTACTCTGCCAAAGAACCATACCTCTAGGCTGGCATTTTTGTGAGTTCCGTGAAGATCAAGTCTCAAGGAGTTTTCTGATCAGGCTGGCTTTGAACCACTATTTTCGAATCTCAGTCTCCTGAATGACTAGGATTAAAGGCATGAACTACCAGAGCACCTGGCTTAAAATAGTATTTTTCAAAGTACTCTCCTTCAGGTATTCTATTGTTTCTTTCTTTGACAAATGCAAAAGTTCTTAAAACACAAAAGAGGGATGGTATTTTTAAATATGTCAGTATATACCATTAAGTTATTTTTTGGCTCAAAGTGTCTGTATCTGAGGTTTCATAGTCATTATCACGTTCCCCATTCTGAAGCATTTTAAGCTCCTTTCTCTCCCTTCTCCTAAGAGTATATAAACTTGATAATATGTCCATTCATCACATTCTGAA